TATATATATATATATATACGTGTAAAATTTATAATGTACGCACGAGTGAAACTATGTGGAAAAAAAGGAATGATAAAGAAATTATGTGCTCGATCGTGCTCGAATAATCCGTATCAGATTGACAGTACCAAACCCAAGCCTTTCGAAAACATTCCAGGGCCAAGAGCCTTACCCGTTATTGGAACGCTGTACAAATATGTGCCTTTCATCGGTAAGAATAATATGTAGTATTTCGATAATTAATTAAAAACATTTATTATTACTGCAAATTTAATATTTTTTGTTTTATGTTTTTTAATTCATTTTAATAGTTTTTATGTTTTTTAATTCACTTTCTGTATTTTCCTTTTTACCATTAAGCTATAGAAATGGATTCTGATTCTACATATAACTTTGCTGCTACATTTTTGCATATTCCCAAATGCAATATTTGCTCATTTAGTCATTTATCTCTTAAATATCAATAGATTAATCTTATCAAATATGTTAATGGTATAGGTGAATACAATTTTACAAAGCTGCACACGAATGGCTTATTGAAATTGAAACGTTATGGACCTCTGGTGCGTGAGGAAATAATACCAGGTCAGCCAGTCGTATGGGTATTCCGACCGGAAGATATCGCAGAAATTTTCAAAGCTGAGACGGGTCTGCATCCTAAGAGAAGATCGCATTTGGCTCTTCTCAAATATCGAAAAGACAGAAGTAATGTCTATAATAGTGGAGGTCTTTTACCTACGTAAGAATTGTTTTTACAAAATTTCGATACATCATACTATGATATATTACGATATTTGTAAAAATCGGTAAAATATTTCATAGCCCAGTAACAATAGAATTTAAAAAACGCAAAAATTACTAGGAATTTAATATTTTATTCATTATTTAGAAATGGCATAGAATGGTGGAGGCTGCGTCGCGAATTTCAGAAGGTCCTTAGCAAACCACGCAATGTTGTCGATTATCTGGAGGATACTGACGCAGTTGTTCAAGAGTTCGTGCAGCTTTGCTCCCGCGAAAAATCAAACGATTTCTTACCTTTATTCTCACATCTTTTTCTTGAACGTAATATCTTTTCATCTGGATAAATTATTCCATTCACGTTAATAATTTTAGCAAAAAATATTCGTAATATTAATAAAATGAGTGTTTTATATATAAATGTCATGAGTATAAATTTTCAGTGATTTGCCTCGTGACTTTTGATGTAAAAATGGGAAGTTTATCGGAAGAAGAAAAACATCCACATTCCAGAAGTTCAAAGCTGATCGAAGCAGCTCTTATGACAAATAGTGTAATGTTAAAATTAGATAACGGCCCAATGTTTTGGCGATTTTTTGAAACACCATTATATCGAAAATTGCGTAAGGCGCAGAATTATATGGAAAAGTGAGTACACAATTATGATCAAGAAATAACCACTCGTATGTACATATATATATATATATATATATATA